TGTCCATGTGAACTGTAGACTCAGGGTCTTGTTCTTAACTGACAGGTGTGGCCCTCAGTGTGGGCTTCTGCTGCTGTAGCTAATTTTATTTCAAGGTTTAACAAAGATGCTCTTCTGCATAACTTGGTAGTTATCATAATTGGTTTCCCCTCCTCTCAGCTCCTCTGAGAAACACAGATTAACACACAAGGGATCTGAGAGGTGCACAGAAGTGATCTACACAATTTGCAGAAGGGGCGATTTGAGATAGGAGACTTAAAGGTACAGTAGTGGCAGAGGAGAATGTAGCATCTGATGGTATCCTGTAGGATGGCTTTGGAAGTGATGCTACATAAAACAGCGCTCACATCAAGAAAAATAAGTGATGATAGAGGCAACAATTAAACAGTGTAAGTTGAAGAACATTGTCCATAGTTTTTGTGGAATGAGTAAGTACAGGAAAGTATTCAAAGGTTAGGGCGATTAGGGACGTAAATAGAAATGGGAAGAACAAGTGAAGAGCGTGTGTTGACAAAATGGAAGGAGCACTTTGAGGAGCGGATGAACGAAGTAAATGAGAGAAAGAGAGAGGCAGAGAGATGGAGAATAGTTAGTGAAGAGGAAAGTTCAGAGAATTAATAAGGAGGAAATGAAGGCAGCTATGAAAAGTATGAAGATTGAAAAGCCGGTTGGTCCAGATGACTGGGTGCCTGGAGAATGGAGAAGAAGTGTACTGGTACAAATTTTCAAGGACAAAGTGAAAAAAAGGTTAAAACAAAGTTTAAACCAAGGTTAAAAGCAAAGGAGAGCAGCAGAGATGATTCATGTGGATTCATTCATGTGGAGAAAGAGCACCACAGATACAGTATAATGCTTCCTTTGTGAGTGCTGGGGTTGCACTGTCTTTGTGGATCTAGAGAAAGCATATGATAGGGAGCCAAGAGAGGAACTATGGTAAAAATGAGGAAGTAGTTGTAGCATATATTTGAGGCTGGTGAAGGACATTTATGAGGACAGGAAGACAGAGATGTAGTATGCAGCAGGTGAGAGAAAAAGGTTCAAGATGGGGATGGGATTACATCAGGGATCAGCTCTGAACCCCTTCTTGTTTGCAGTGGAGATGGACAGGTTGACAGACGAGGTCAGGCAGGAGTCTCCCAAGTGGCCACATGAGAAACTGGGACTGTTTTGGAGGCTCCCACCAATAAGTTTATAAAGAGATTAAATTAATATTGAGCAGAGCAGAGTTCATCTTATTGGGGGGGGCCTCCAGAGTCCTATTAGACAAATTATAAAAGTTAAACTTTTATACTTTGTCTAACTTTACCTTCACACAACCGATATATAAATGCCATGAAATGTGGAGGGACCCATTCGGTAGCTCTGTCAACTGGGCTCCTTCTGTCTTTCAGGTACTGGGGTACTGCATGTCTACTTTTTGGTACTTTTTCTTTTTTTTGATAAATAGCAAGCGTATTATTCTGTCAGTATTGAGCAAAATCACTTCCAGCACTTTGTTGAAATAACATGTAAATAAATAGATAGTTATCCTGAGAAGGTATACCTAGTAAAGTATCTGGCGAGAGTATCCATGTATCCACACCTACTAGTTAAAAATCAGTGGCCACTTTCAGTCTTACAATACTACTATTGTAGTCTGTCAAAAGAACATTTTGCTATAAAACTTTTGAGAAATTTCTGTTTTCTGTTTCTGTAATGACTGATGTAATGTCTTTTTATCTTTATGTTGTGCTTTTAAATACAGTGAGCACCCTAAAAAAAAATGCAAAACTGACATATAACCAGGCTCAAGTGGGTATACATTCTCTGCTTATCTCCTCTCCATCTGTTTGTGCTGTCTGTGTAGGGGCTCAGGTTTCTCATTTCCCTGCCTCTGAGCCCCCCACAGCTCCATGCACAAGGCCGAACGTGCCCCAGTCACACGCCCTCCTCTTTCTCTGCTGCTGGGAGCCACAGCGACACACGGCTTCCCACACTTCTGTATGCAGCCTGCTCAGCAGCACACACAATAGAAGTGTGTCTGCTCTAACAAAGCCTCGGGACCGTTCTCAGGCAGGGAAAGCACAGAGGCCCACTTCACAACCATCTGGTTTTGCTATAACTGGCTGCTGAGAAAAAGAGACTGAGAAAATATTAAACATTAAAAATATTAATAATGCTTTTAGCTCATTTTGAAGGTTATTTAATATTATTCATTTGAGTTGTCTTTTTTATCATTAGAAATAATTAAAGACAGAAACAGTGGTGCTGTTTGAGAATAAAAACCCATGTATTTAAAAATGTTGTAGTGAGTATTTACTGTTGCAGTTGAGAAGTTAATAATATGTTAGTAATAAGTTTTATCATCCACGCAGCACATTTTACAGTCTTAGATTGGTGTCGTTGAAGTGTCTGTCCTATGTCCCATCATGGTCCATGTGCATAGTCTAAGCTTCACAGAAGGAAACAAAATTTTCCCGTGTCCACTTCAGGAAGAGCATTTTCCCACTGATCTCACTTATGTATGGCATACAGATAAAGCATCCCACCTGTTCTCTATGACAGCCATTAAATGCGCTCTATTGTCCTGAGCTCTGAGGCCCCTGATTGGCCAGAAAGCAGTGAAAGCGCAAGATGAGCAGCATAAATAAGGAGCAGGCACACAGAATTAAACAGAGACGTCGTCTGAACCTTTGCAAGCAAAACTAGAACTTCCCACAAGAAGAAACAGACCTCGTCATGGCTCTCTACGCAGATCTCACTCTTCAGGACACCATGAAGGAGCAACTGTTTAGGTGAGCTGAAGTTCTGTTTCTCTATTCCTAGTACGAGCTGTTCACTAGAAATGTACTTTTCACAAAAAGGACAAATATGTTAACATAGTTGTGACTTTTCTTTCAGATGTAAACTTCACATGCTGGAGAAGAAATGCAGCACCGGAGTGGAGAAGCTGAAGGCTCTGATTGCAGAGCATCTGCAGAATGGTCTCCCTCTCTCAGACTTACTGGAGAAAACAAAGTCATTGCTCACGTTAAGAAAAGCCCTGCTGACACACAACGGCTACTCCAAATATTCAAGGGACATTTTACGCCTGTTTCCCGATGCAGAGGATGACGTGGCTCCTCTGTGCTTTTAAGAACAAAACACGAACTACAAAAAGTCATCGAAACTGGATTCAAACCACTGCATTTTTAATGGCAGTGATGCAAGCTGGATCTCTGTGTTAAAAATCTACTGACTGTTAAAAGATGCATTATTTGCATTACGACAAGGAGACTCTCGAGGTCACCTGCGGCGCATTTCAACTGTTTTACTGAGTATTTCTTTTTTTAAAAGGAAATATTTATTTTAGCTCATACGATATGATTTCAGTCTAGCTTTAACAGGAGCTTGTGAAAGATAACTGAATTCAGGGTCAAAAGTGGTTGTTGACTGTGCAGAAGATGTGTTTTGCTGCTATTTGTGGGATTTATGTTTCTTGTGGTTGTCAGATTTTTATGTGAAGGCCACAGAAGAAAAATCCAGCCTCGAAACTATGCAACAATTAGTTGTTGTTTGTGTAATTACTAATTTTTTTTCACCAGAATTTTAGCGGTATAATTTTTGCATTTTATACCAACAGTAACACTGTGTGATTATATTTTTGCATATGTATTTCGCTGCCTTGTTTCAAGGTATATTTGATAAAATCCCTTAATACAAACCTTTCTTTTGAAAGGAGATTCATCTCTGTTTATGCTGTGTATGCATATTTTGTTTTTTCATCAGTTTTGTTTTTATTCATCCAAAGTGGATTTTAATATGTTTTTTTGCATATTTCAAGAAAATAAATATCTGAAGATCAAATTCTTGTCATGTGACTTTATTTGAATTAATTTGGAAGAATCAAACTATTTAAATATTTTGTGTTGATTCAAGAAACTTTTTTTTATTATTATAAATATTATAAATTTATCAAATGTATTATATTTTCACACTCCCTTGAGTGAAACTTGAGTTTCATGAGAAAGGCTTAATCAGTGTGAAAAGATGCTAATCGTAGACTATGATAATGTCTGAATTTGATGACATAGAGCAAGGGTGCCAATGGCAGCCCTTGACAACCATTCGTGTGTGACTGACAGGCACATCCAGAAAGGAATGTAGTGCTATGCATTGCCTTTATCCACTTTATTTCATGCTATGATATAGCACAGGGGTAGGCAACTCCAGGCCTCGAGTGCCGATGTCCTGCAGGTTTTAGATGTGTCCTTGATCCAACACAGCTGATTAAAATTGCTAAATGACTTCTTCAACATGTCTTGAAGTTCTCCAGAGGCCTGGTAATGAACTAATCATTTGATTCAGGTGTGTTGACCCAGGGTGAGATCCAAAACCTGCAGGGCACCGGCACTTGAGGCCTGGAGTTGCCTACCCCTGGAATGAGACAAAAAGAGATTTTCATTCATTTCTTCGATTTCAGCTCCTCTGTCCTGGTCATTATAGCAGACCTCACCTTCTTAGCACTGACAAATATTGTGGTTATCAAAAAAAAAAAAAAAAACATAAGCCAGCACAACAACTTGTGTGCAGTTTTCTTGTGCAATTCTCAGTAACATGCTGACTCCCTAAATAGACACTCAGTCATCAGAGCACTGGGAGCATCTGATCTACAGTATCATACTTTAACAGGAGGACAGGACTTTAACACTGCTGCTAAGCCATCATTCAAACACTAAATTTGCTTGTGAAAAAGTGCTGCTAATCCCATCAGCATATGCAGTAGCTATATGTCATGCTGTTTTATATAACACCACATTTTAGAATGATGAAATATGGTGTAAGCTATTAGCTCAAAAGAGAAGAGTTTTACCAGCATCTGTCTGTCTGAAACATTTTTCTCAGTAAACAGCAGGTAAAGTTACCCTGTTGTTTCAGATAACGTTGCCTATTAAAAAACACGTTGTTAAACATGCAGAGCAGATTTTCAGTTGTATATAATTTCCATGATTAAATAATCAAAATAAGTCAAGCAAAATGTGTTGTTTTTTCTGATTGTTTTATTGCGCATCACTTGGCTTGAAGAGATACATTCATTTTGAGATGTTTTACAAATAACAGCGCCTTCATTGAAGGTATGTGTGCTGTCACTCACAGAGTCAATAAGCAACACGTTTGTCTTGAAGGTTATCTGCTAAAAAATGCAGACAGTTAACACATTTAAAGACCAGAAAGGACATTTCAATCAGTAAAGTATGTAGATATCACATAAAATTTTAGACATGTTCAACATGCATACATACATCACTGTCAGTGTAACCAACATTATATAGGAATTCAAACTGGGAATAATAACGTCTACTTCACAATGAATCGGAATGCGACTACTTTTGAAACACAAAATAACAGCCAACCCGTTGTCTGCAAATATTGCAGAAACACAGAATCTGACCTTTACAAAAGGCAATAATATAGATTAAAGGAAAATGCTGCACAGGCACCCTTCAAAATAAGACAATCCCAGAAACAAGTACAATTACTTGTACTTCTATGAAGATAGAGTTTTTACTTCCAAGCACACTTTTACGTTTACTTTCACTTTTTCTTAAGTCCTTCCAAGGCTTCTACCAAGGTCTCCATAGAGCAGTGCTGACTGGACTTTTGTCTTTGATGATGCTTGTCTGGACTGTGGAGCTAGATAAGTTGGCCTCTCTCAGGTTCTTATTAGAAGAAGCATGCAGGTTGTTGACATGGTTCAGCAGTCGTCTCTGGGACTGAGTCTTCACCTCATCTTTGGACAGGAAATGGACCATTTCTTGGACACACCTGGAGTAGCCCTGATCGACTGTTGCAGAGTTCACAGCTTGACGCTGCTGCTGCAGTCGTCTCAGGAAGCAAACTGTCATCTCCAGGATGTCTGCCTTCTCCAGTTTGGAGTCTGGCTGCTGTTTCAGGAACTCTGGACCCAGCAGAGACTTGAGCTGCTCAATGCTGGTGTTAATTCGCTCTCTGCGTAACTTCTCCACCAGAGGCTTTCTGAGCTGCAGAAAGAAGAACAATAATATTACTAAACTTGTTCAGTGGCACAGTTTTTAGCACAAAAAAATCAGTTGGCTTTATGTGATATTAAAACTACTATGAGTCTCCAGTTTACCTTGTGGGTCAGAGTTGGATGCTCCTGAGAACCGGTCATTGCCGCAGTGACAGGTGCCATGGCTGGATCTCTGTGCTGTAGCGAGAATCTGATCTCTGCTGGCTTCATCCCTCCTATTTATACTCCCACATCTCCATATGAATGTGTGGGTCTTGGTCTGACTGGAGTTTCTCACAGTCTGAGCCAATCAGAGAGCTCAGCAAGACAATAAAGGATGCAAGACACTGAATGGTGTTATTGCCTTAAGGATAATGGTTAGATCTCAGGGGAACAGCTGGCGGGCTGGGGGGAGGTTGATGGAGAGAGACTCACACAGCTCTGTGTGGATCTGGGAAAGTGGTGACCCTGTAGAGAAAGCTGATCTGCTGCCTGATGCTGAGATCAATGACTTTGACTGAGCACACGCTCATCATAACAACAGAAAAACATCTGAAACAGTCATGAAAATGTTAGGCTTAGATAACCACATATTTCTGCCTTATTTACAACAAACGTGTCACAATTAGGTGTCATTTTAACTTGACTAGAATGTATCGAAGTAATACTCTTGCTCTACAAGAGATATTTTTGTTGATACTGTTATCGCACAAAATACTATCGCAGATATAACAGAAACTTTCCTCAACACATCTCCCTATCAACACCTGGATTAATGAGATTTTTAATAAAGTTTGATTATTGATACAACCTAAACTCATCAGACCACACGAGCACACGATCAATTCAGGAGTGAACTCCCTTTATCCTATCAAAATCATTATCATCATCATCATCAAAAAAAAAACTTAAGGAAAAAGAAATTAAGAATAAAAGCCTGGAATGCAGAGAGACAATCTGAGTTTGAAGAAGGAGAAAAAGAGCTTTTGAATTTTCATCAATCCAAAACATGTCTGCATTCCTTATAGCAGTTTTGCAAAAGCCTGGTAATGACTAGTCTTGATGGCTGGAATTTCCATTCACAGGCAATGAGACAAAACTCGTAAACTGACTCCATAATTAATGTGATGTGCAACCAGACACACTTCTTTTGTTCTTGAAAGCAGTAAATGGGGAGAGTGTGGGAAACCAGAGAAAACCCACTCACAGAGCCCCTGAGGGACAATAGAGGCAGGGCAGACAAAGATGTCTGTGAAGGGGGAGGAATTCTTTACCACTGAATTTAAAATTTGTACATAATTTACTCACTCAAGATGAGAAAATGTTAATTTAGAGTTCTTACTAATTACAAATATTTTTTTGTACATATATTAAATAAATTCTTTGAAAACTTTTGTTATGATTTGTGGTTTTGTTTAAATAAAATCTAAATTACTTTTTTGAATAAATTTTATTTTTAAATACAATTTAAATTAAAGAAAAGTGCCAAATTATCAAAACTATTTTTAAATTACATTTTTATTTGCAGTTCTACATTGTTACCAATGACCAATTTTAAACTCCCGACAGCTACATCATTATAACAATGTGTATTACCTGGATACATTTTCATGACAAAAGAAAAAGTAAGTAATATAGTAACAGCTATAATAATGTACAATTAAAAAAAATAAGACAAGGCATACTTTATCTAGTCCAAAAATAGCAGCCAATACATTAAATAGCTAAAAAAAAAATACAATATGACAAATCAAAAAAGTTTAATAAAGTTAAAAAGAGCCTAATTAACCTGAAAATAAAGTAGAATAAAATAAATTAGATTTTTTAAAGTAAAAATATAAAATAAAACAAAGGAGAATGTCATATTTATCACATATTTTTCTTAATAAATACTTATAATGTCCTTATATGTTTGTGCAGGTATAGAAAGTAAATGCACATAAATAAAATAAATAAATATAAATATAAAATACACATCCAAATATACTTTGATGACTAACAGTTAGGTTACATCCCTAATCAAAATATTTGTGTTTATACTCACTCTCCTAGCTTAATTACTGACAGTGTCTACACAACAAACTCTGCCCTCGTGGGAGAGCCGGGAGCTGCTGGTGTGTAGATGAATTAGCATTTAACAAGGCACATGCCCATTGTTGAGTGAGAGCTCAGTCAATGAACAGAGTGTGGGAAAACTGTGAGAGAGCGAGTCACAGTTCAGTGTGATTAGCATCTTCAACCTCACCAGCACCTGACTATTCTCCAAAGGGGAATTGGCACACTTCAGAGGAAGATTTTCTTCACTGTTTATTCTCTTTTTCCTTGTATTTCTTTCTCTGCTGGTCTCTCTTTGGTGCCAATTCTGTAACTTTTGCCAGCTTCATTTCCACTCTGTGTCGTGGGTCATTATTTCAATCTAAACCTCTTTACTTTTTCCACTGATGGATGCCAAAATACCATGGCAATGTGATCCCTTTTAAACAGGTTATAAAGGCTTTTTTCGCAAAGTACATTTTGACAAAGACTTTTTTTAAAATCAATGCCACAATATATAATTTGACTAACGATGGTGGGTAATAAATACAGAAAGGGACTTTAATAGCTAATATCTCAGGTGATATCTTATTTCCTGACTGAGAAAGTTCAACTAAACTTACATTATGTAAGTTTGGTTTAACTAATGCACTCTATTAAAACAAAAAAGGTAATAATCAAACTTCAGCATATGGCCTTGTGCTATGTCTCAGATTATTGCTTAATCTTAAAACACAAATCTACCTTTCAATCCTGCTATTTTATGTTAACATCATGGGATTTTTAATGTGAAAGGTGCATATGGAGTGCTCTCACATGTGTGATGGGATGATCAGCGTGTGCTCAGTCAAAGTTATTGATCAAAGCATCAGGGGGAAGATCTCCTCTCTACAGGGTCACAACTTTCCCAGATTCATACAAGCCCCACCCATTACCCCCACCCCCAGTCCTCCACCTGTTCCCCTGAGACCTAGCTATTGTTCCTCCAGCAGTAAAACAGCATTCTGCATGTTGCTTCATCCTTATTGTCTTGCTGAGCTCCCTGATTGGTCAAAATGGTGAGAAACTTCAGCCAGGCCAGAACCCACATATTCATATGGAGATGTGAGATTATAAATAGTGAGATGAAGATGAGAGGCAGAGAGAGAGAGAGAGAGAGAGAGAGAGAGAGAGAGAGAGAGAGAGAGAGATGAGATTTCTACAGCACAGATATCCAGGCATGGCACCTACAATCACTGCAGCAATGAGCAATTCTCAGAAGCATTCAACTCTGAATCACAAGGTAAATTTCCCACCAATACCTAAACATATCTTTACAAATTGTCTCATATAATGCTTAAGTTACACTCTGGATAAAGTTTATTTACTATTTTTTTTCCTCTTTTTGCAGCTCAGAAAGCCTCTGGTGTAGACGTTACGCAGACAGTGAATTAACAGCAGCACTGAGCAGCTCAAGTTTTAACTGGGTCCAGAGTTCCTCAAACAGCAGCCAGACTCCAAACTGGAGAAGGCAGACATCCTGGAGATGACCGTTTGCTTCCTGAGACGACTGCAGCAGCAGCATCAAGCTGTGAACTCAGCAGCTGTTGATAAGGGCTACTCCAGATGTGTCCAAAAGGTGGCACATGCCCTGTCCAAAGAGGAGGTGAACACTCTCTCTCAGAGAAGACTGCTGAACCACATCAACAAACTGCAAAACTCCTCTGACAATCTGAGAGAGGCTGATATCTCTCGCCTGAGCTACACAGTCCAGACTACCATGACCAAAGATAAGACTCGAGTCAACAGCTCCCTCTGGAGGCCGTGGTAGACACCAACTGAAAGAAGTTGTTAACAATGTGACCATGTTGGTTAAATATAAATAAGATTTTCAATGTTAAATGAGAAATCTGTGTCAGATTTTTAGCACAAAGTTCTGTTGCACTAATAGTTTCTTTCTTTTTTTTAGAAAAACAACATTGTTTTCTATGATAACATATTTTCTCTCATTGATGCATGATAGCTGAAGCTTGGTTAGGAATGATCATACTTAACTTATATTCCTGTTGACAGGAGTTGTGAATTTTCTACCTACTTTTTTGTTTTAATATCAACCTTTCTGATGCACTTTTATGTATTGCTTTCATATCTGGAAGATTTGTTGACCCACATTGGGTACTGGAATCATGTGTTCTATTATTAACATATTTTGTAGTGCAAAAAGCATAAATGTGTGCATAACTCAAAATGTATTTTCTCTGATTGAGAGTTGGGTCACTTTCTTTAGTTTATATTAAATTACCCTGCTGTGCCTTTTATATACATACTGGAGCTGTTCATTCTACTCTGATTAAGGACATTGACTAGAAATACAAGTTTTTGTTGCAATGCATCATCACCACTCATGCCTCAGTGAAAGTACGTAAACATGATGTGACCTCTTTATTCTTCACGATCAAAAATAAATTAATTAATAACTGAATATTGAGTTGTGTCACTTCATCCCTTCTACTGACAAAAGATCAGTGTTGGTCAAGCTTTTAGTGGAGCAGAGTTGTCATTGTTTACTGGAGCATTACATTGTTGAGATACATGAACCACATCTTTTAGTGAGGACACTTTCTGTTATGGCTGCCAAATATCTTGTAGCTGCTGCTGAAACACACAGAAATCGATTCATTTGTTAAAACATATGACGACTTGTAAAATAAAACTGACAATTTGATCATTCCCATCTGTTGTTGTGCCTTTCTTAGTCTTAAGGTTGGCAAGCTACTCTTATTTCACAGTCTAGGATCACACTTCAAACATGTGGCCCTTGAGCCAGAACAGGTCATTTAAATGGTTGAGTAAAGCCCTGAGAATGGCTTTTCAAAGCTGATAAATGCAGAGCAGAAGGTTTTCATGTTTAGACTACATGCTGCATTTGTAACAGGACTCTATTACCGAAAAACTGCAACATGACGGTTCTGATTAAACTCCCAATTCTGTCCAAGCTAGAAGTCAAGCTAATCATCAGTTTTACAGATTTCTGACTTCTTAAGAAGTTAACTCAACATGTTTTTTTCATTTAATAAAGTAGTGTTTATTTTTAATGACAGTGGACTGGATGTGAAAAAAAGAAAGATCATCACTTCTTGTACTTTGTAACATATACATAAGTCCAAGTTATGCAAATATTTCACCACTCTACTGTGGTATAAGACTCAAACCATGATGCTCAGATGGGAGGAAACCAATCTGGATGTTCAGCAACAATGCAGGGACCACTGATGTTCAAGCCTGCCATGAACTGGAACCTGCAGGAAAACCAGAATCACTGTTTACAGTGAAGCAAGTTTTAAATCATCAAGAAAGAAGCTGCCCACATGGACATACCAAAAGTGTCTGGTCCAGGTTCGGGTTGCTAAAGGACATCATATACGGGTGGGAGTGCATGTATTTGAGCCTGTATGTCTACTTTCGATCGTGCACGGACAGGGACGATTACATTCAAACTTTTAGGAAGCCTCAGCTCAAAAATCATCTCATATATGCAGCGCAATGTAATTAATATTAATGGAATATGCTGTTTACAAATCTAATCAGCGTAAATAATCAGAGATTCCAATCTAATCCACCCATTTTAGGGTGGAGCCTTCAGGTATCAAACCCGAAGCAAAGACTCAGTAATTAGAAGTGAAAGAAATGTGGCAAAGCAGATAAGAAGAGAAACAAGCACAACATTATTTCAGTCTCTTAACCACATAGCGGCAGTCCACCGAATCATCAAGCACTTATCCAGTACAGACACTGGAACATCACCTTGTCACTCCATAGACCTGTACACAAACCAAACTGGTAATACAGTTGTTTTATATTAAAGTTTTTGAATTCATACAATACAAACCCTCTATTTAATATGCAGTCACAGCACAGAGCATCGTGTACTCCAATTTCATGAGTGGAGAGTAAATTTGTAGTCCCTCACATCAATGTAGTGGCAGCCGTCCTGTTCAAGACAAGTTTAGAGTGGTATGAATCCTGTAAAATGCGACCATTCATATCAATATGGGATCAATATGATGTGAATCAACAGAAGTACAAAACACTGCTTATTTATGAGAAATCATTAATGTATGTGAGAAAACAGAAGCTACAGCTTCATAATTTCTGGTGAATTTGACTACATGTCCACTCTTTATTGTTTCTTTTTGCTCTCTCTCTCTTTGCTGTCTCCATCCAGCCCTCTTTATCTTCTTCTCTCAGTCTTGGTGCCGGCACAAAGTTAAATATTACTTGTAACAAAAAGCACTAACAGATTCATATCTATTTACAGCAACATTCAAACTGAATGCAGGTTGCAGAAGGTTATTAACAGTCAACATCCTTTTGACTTGCTGTCACCTGGATCTGGAGCTGTATACTAAACAAACACTGAAGTCCAATTCAATAAGAACAGGAACAGACCATTTTTAAGAACTAAAATAAAAAAAATCATCTCCTTGGCTGGCAACTTGTGACATACGGGCAGACTACTGGCTCAGACGGTTATAATTAACTAATAATCTCTAGTGATTTAAGATAGATTAGATAAAGTTTTTAACGCTATTTATAGGACAAATAAAAAAGCAGACATTTTATAAGTCACAGCAATGTCCCCTCAGTTTGAACTTTTGCTATATGTCAGTTAAAGTGTGTTTTAAATCTGCGTAACTGATTTGTGTCATGAAATTACCTCTTCATCTTCTTGCTGCTGCAGCAACCAAAGTCGTATTCAGTCTATTAAAATCAAACCAGCAACGCCTCTGTGTGAGTTATGATATCAACAACACTAGACATAAAACCTGTTTTCATTCTATCCTGTACTGGCGTCAGTTGACAAGTTGGGAAAATAAAACATTTGAAGATAATTCCAGAAAATAATACTAAAATGCGCTGTTATTACTACTATTAATATTGTTATTTTTAGGGGTGCTCTGATGAAATTTTGGGGTGCCAAAGGGTTTAAACTCGCCTATGTGCCTGGATTACAAAAAATCCTAAATAAATTCAAACTTGTGCGCTCAGTTCTTAGTTTAATTCTTTCACCCTGGAAAAAGAATACTTCAAATAAGTCACCAAAAGCCTCCCAAATATCATGCCATTCACGTCTGTGACGAGTATAAGTAAACTTCTGACGTCAATTGTACGTCCACGAATTCTTAAATTATCGGTTTATTTAATTAGTTAATACGTTTTTTACATAATAAAATAATTATTAGTGTGGAATTGGGAAAAAAACCCGCGTTACTACCTGTTAACGTTCACGTCGCTCCAGAACTTGTTTACCAGATGACGTGCACGCTCTGCACTGGGCGTGGATGCTGATTGGACGTCGCAGGGCACGCACGTACAGCACGCACACAGCGTCACGTAATTACCGACCATGGCGGAATGTGGTCGAGTTGACAGCAACACAAGTCACGCCATGGATAAAAGCATTACTCTTCCTCCCGATGAAATCTTCCGCAATTTGGAAAACGCAAAGCGCTTCGCCATAGATATCGGTACTTGGAAATATGAGCGCTTTCTTTCATTTTGCGGCAACTTTTGCACACACTGAGCTAATCTTCGTGTTTGTAGACCAGCTCTGCCGCATCCTTAATACTCTGATAAACACTAGACTTTAGGTGAAAGAAGACAAAGCTAATGGTAGCGGCTTAAATTTACACGCGATGTTAATTTGTTTGACAGCCAGTCAGTTTATTCTAAAGATGGAAGTCTGATGAGCTTTCGGGATTATCGTTTTACCTTTAAGCGGATGTGTGCCTAACACAACCTGGCCAACTTTGACAAGTGCACGAGCCTTCACGTTAGCTGTTAGCTACTCCGTTATAAGAACTTATCTCTTTCAAGACAGTATCAGAGTTTGTCACTTCATTGCTCGTTTTAAATGTCGATTCGCCCTGCTGTTTTCTTATCGGACATTATCGATGTTGTTTTGCTTTAACAGGTGGCTCTTTGACAAAGCTGGCTTACTACTCAACCGTCCAGCACAAGGTGGCCAAAGTGCGATCATTCGACCACACTGCAAAGGTACGGATGAAAAACACACTGTTTATGCTTTAAAATGCAACCACCCAAAAATATGGAATCAGCACACTTGTAGGATGTTCATTCAGCCTTGTTTTATTTTTGTTTGTTACTTAGAATAACAAAAACAAACAAACAAAAACATAGCAAAATCAGATCAAGTATTGGGAGAAATGTGCTGACCCATCCTTACATCATCAGCTAGTACTTTTCACGAAGTACATGTCAGTACTTTCTTGCACCTCCTCTGGGTGTTATGATGTGCAAGATTTTTTGAGGTATATGCTCCACTATAAAAACCAAAGCTCTCCATCAAGCTCCTTCTAATAATTTTAACTATAATTTTCAATTAGATTAGTATCTGGGTTGTTTGCTGACCATGTCACGGGGATGAGGAAAAGCTTTAACTGTAGCTTTGGGACGCCTGTAAAAATCACTTAATCATAATGATTGTCATCTCCCTTGGTCCTTTACATTAGATGCATTCCTACACCTTGAAGTCAAACTATTCAGCTACTAAATATATTTCTAATTTTTTTTTTTTTCAAATCTGATTTGCTATAGAGTTAAAAAAAAAAAAAGTGCTGGCTGTGCATCCTTCAAGTGTAGCGATTCCACAGTTTTTGTCAGGGCTTGTGGCAGAAGCCAACATCTGGACTGCTTGAAGTACTCAGACATTTCTCTTCCGTATGTCTGTTTTCTAGGAGGCTGCTGGTGGCAAGCTGTATGAAATATCAATGCAGGAGGAGGTGACGGCACGCCTGCACTTTATCAAGTTTGAAAATGCTTACATCGAAACATGCTTGGACTTCATTAAAGACCATCTAGTTAACACTGAAACCAAAGTTATCAAAGCCACAGGTGGAGGGGCACACAAGTTCAAAGAGCTAATCGAGAGGAAACTGGGACTCAAGTCAGTATATACAAATCAATGTTAGATATCACCAAAAAAAAAAAAAACCTTTACCTGTGCTGTATCATTCAGCATTTGTGGCAGTTTGCTAAAGTGTAGAAACTGTAGGTATAAATGGAAACAAAGGGAGCTACATTTCTAGCATATTCTGGGTGACCAGGCTTGAATTAACAATAGTCCTCCATTCTTGTTGTAACCAGTGCACAAAGCAATATCCTGTCCTCTTCCTGTAAAACAGGAAATTGCAAGACAAATTGTATGTTTGTTTGTTTTTTACAGAGACCTTTGGAAGACCTTATAAAGACTCCTCTGGAAAATATCTAATATTTGATGGCTTGCCAAGTTTGGCAGCCTTCTTTTTTTTTGTATCGGCTAATTAAACAGACGACAAAAAAAATCATTAATGTGATCGAGAGCAAGATACAGTTTCAGTTTTCCCAGTTTGTTACTCTAGTCGTTTAATACAAAAAAAGTAACGTATTTGCATCAGCTGGTGCTTGTTTGTAATTATTACCTGTGTAGCCTGTGTAGCTTGAAGAGTGTAAATTTGTAGTCACGTTGAAATAGATCGTTTGTTATTGTTGGTGATGATGCTCACCTGTTTTTGTGCTGTACTGTGGCAGAGTGGACAAAGAGGATGAGATGACATGCCTCATCAAGGGCTGTAATTTTGTACTGAAGAACATACCACACGAGGCTTTCGTGTACGCCAAGCATGCCGACTCAGAATTCCGCTTTCAGACGACTAATCCAGACATCTTTCCTTACCTGCTGGTAAACATCGGCTCCGGGGTGTCCATAGTTAAGGTAATACAATAAATAAGTAAGAGAATAAAGAATGCTCCTTCTTGTGCTGCATCTTGTTCTTGTGCTTCTGCTCCCATTCATTACATTGGATCATGTTTCCATTTCTTCCCATCCTTTGCATTTGCACAGATTTTAAGAGTATACTTTGTTATACTTTCCAAATACCCTGTTTTTCCACATGTCTTTTTGTCCTCTTAAAAAGCTAAATTATAGAAACAACAGACAAATACTGGCTTTTTAAAAGGACTTAAGATGCAGTGTTTTTTATTAAATAGAACATACTATCACTTCTCTCAATGATGCAGTAAAAATATAATATTAAGAGGTTATATGATCACTTTCATTTGATTTACTAGGTTCTTTTGTGATTAACGCACTACGCTGTATCACTTTTTTCTCACTTTCTCCAGGTTGAATCAGAGGACAAATTTGAGAGAATAGGAGGAAGCTCAATAGGTGGAGGGACATTCTGGGGACTTGGAGCCCTTCTCACCAAAACAAAGGTATCCTGAGTAATGTGGACTGGTTTTATTACAAGTCATTTATCAGCAACTACTTAAATCGTGTATTTAAGGTTGTCTTGACTTTTTTTTAAATTTAAACCATAGAGATTTGACGAGCTGTTACAGTTGGCCTCGAAAGGTCAGCATGCAAGTGTTGATATGCTTGTTAAAGATATCTATGGAGGATCATACGGGTATTTGGGCCTGACTGGAGATCTTATAGCGAGCAGTTTTGGGAAGTCTGCTACTGCCGACAAAGGTGAGTCATGGACGAACGGGTTTCATTTAGCTAAACTGTAGTGTTATGCAAGTGTTGAGTCACTCCTCATTTCATTACATTTTGCTAAAAAATAATGGGAAAACGTGCAATAATTTATGTATTATTATTTATTTATTTATTGTAATTTCTGTAAGTAGTATTAAAGAGGACTTTTCCAGGCTTCTAGAAGGACATTCAAAGCTCTTCTTTGGATGTTGGCTGTGTTTTTGTTCTCACGCTGCTTCAATGGGAAGGCCAATTAATGGCTGATAATGAATCATTATATGTCGGTTTGTTTTCACTGCATTGTCAGTGTGTTTGGGTTCACACCCATGCTGGACAATTAAGTTGTTGCCAGGCAGATACTTTACATATTGCACTGGATGGTGGATCAAAATCTTTCTGTGATCTCCAACACCACTGGCTGAAACACAGCTGCAAACCATTACAGAGTCTCCTCTGTGTTTCAGAGATGGCTGTAGACACTGACTGCTGTATTTCTACTCTGAACTCATCTGTACATATTGAAAATGAATTTAAACAAAAATATATAAAATCATATCCGTCACTCCATGTGACCTGTTGCCACTTATTTTCAGTTCAGTTCTAGTGTAATTTGGCATACCTCAGCCTTTTTGCCCCGTTTCCCCTCCTGAAGAATGTCTTCTTGACAGCCACCCTTCCATTGAGACTGTTTCTAATGAGGCTTCAGTGAACTGTAGATGGATCAACTGAAGGGCCATATTTATCTCACTGCCTTTTTTTTAAGGCAGTGAGTTTCATATACTGTTCATCTGCTGTAGATATTTGGTGTGCCACTTCTTTTATCCTCCAGCTTCCTCAAATATTTCTAATGGGTACACTGCACAGCATGCTGCAGTATGCCAAGTCAGCTAATAGCTCTTTGGGAATCACCTGTATCTTATGCCTGTGAACTGTTATCTTTAGCATTTTTCCGTGGATTCAACTAAAGAAATGGGAGCAAATTATATGTTAAGTGGCAGGCTGCTAATAAGAAAGTGCCTAAAGGGTCAATTTAAAATTTATTCGTTTTTTAAGTTGTCTGTTATGTGTGGACACAACACTGGTTCATCCCTTTAGTTATATTGCGTTTTTGTTTAATTGCGAAAATAGTACAAAAACTGGGCTGAAAATTAGCATAAAGCAGTTAATGTCCAAAGAAAACTCTGAAAGACCTTCAAAAAGCTCAAAGAACGTTTTCCCAAGAAAAAATTAGAAACTTGCAAGAATGTGCATCTCATGGAAGTATTATATAAAGAAATTGTGGGTGGTTAAAGACAGTACTGTGCATCCTTGTAATGTCAGACTCTAACAACATGGTTATATATTGTGTTTTGTATTTGCAGTTTATTCATTTATCATGACAAAAAAACCCACCTCACATCCTTTTAGTATGTTTTTAGTCCTAAAATGAAAGAGGCTTGCTCTGAAGATCAACAGCTGCAGGGCAGCAGCTGCAGTAAGCTCAGATTATTCATGGTAAAGTGTATTTCAGTGATGGCCTAGTTTCAAAGCGTAATATATCTGAATTTGCATTTAAACTCAAACCACACTAGTCCACCTCAGATTATTACATTTGAGCAGTTTCTTCCTCAGTATGTGGAAAAATGGCTTCTTCCTTTTTAACCGTCATATAATGGGGTTTTTTTTAAGTGTAGCTACTGCAGTTTAAAGACTTAATTGATTTAAATAAATTGATTATAACCAGATACTTTTATTTCTCTAACAAGGAAGGATCCCTGTTCTTTTTTATCTTGTTAACTACTTCAT